ATAGCGAGAGATATGGGAAACGGATAATCGAAGAAGGCGGCGTTGGGGCGCTGCTGAAATTGCTGAAAGAAGGTAAGGTTGAAGGTCAAGAAAACGCTGCAAATGCGCTAGGGCATTTAGGGCGTGACCCTGAGAATGTTGAGGCCATGATTCAGGCTGGTGTCTGTCAGGTGTTTGCGAAAATTCTCAAAGAAGGTCCGATGAAAGTTCAGGCTGTGGTTGCTTGGGCTGTATCGGAACTCGTTTCTAGTTACCCAAAATGCCAAGATCTCTTTGAACAACACTATATTATCCGCTCGCTTGTTACCCATCTTGCGTTTGAAACAGTTCAAGAACATAGCAAGTACAACATCACTGTCAATAAAGCCACCTCGATTCATGCTCTGGTAATGGCTAGCAACCCCAAAACAAACAATATGTATAAAGCTGTAGATGATGATGATCGACAGCTCCATAGTCGGATTCTTTATCCAATGGGAAATCGAACCCCAAATCAGATGCACGCCGTGGTTACCAACACTATGAATATGCTCTCTGGTGGGTCGATGGAGGCTGCCACTGCAACTCCCCAGGCAAACCATGGCGAAGGTCACAGCCTTAGCAGCAATGGAAAGCATATTCTTCCACATCATGCCCCTTACCTCCATCATGCTCCTTCCGGCCCCAGCGCGAAAGGTAGGGAGATTGAGGACCCGGCAACGAAAACCCAGATGAAAGCCATGGCAGCTAGAGCCCTTTGGCAGCTTGCCAAAGGGAACTTGACAATCTGCCGTAGTATCACAGAATCAAGAGCTCTGCTGTGTTTTGCTGTCCTACTTGAAAAGGGGGAACAGAATGTGCGGCATAACTCAGCAATGGCATTGATGGAGATCACTGCCATGGCTGAGCACGATCCTGAGCTGAGAAGATCCGCCTTCAAGCCGACTTCACCCGCCTGCAGAGCCGTTGTAGAGCAGTTCCTGAAGATCGTTGAGAAAGAAGATGCAGATCTCCTCATCCCATGTATCAAATCCATTGGAAATTTGGCCAGGACGTTCCGGGCCACTGAGAAAAGAATGATCACCCCATTGGTGCGGCTTCTGGATGATCGAGACACCGAGGTCTCGAAGGAGGCCTGCATTGCTCTCACCAAATTTGCCTGCACAGACAACTTCCTCCACGTCTACCACTGCGAGGAAATCATAGCTGCAGGTGGGGCAAAGGACTTAGTCCAGCTAGTGTACTTTGGGGAACAAAGTGTTAAAATTGCAGCAGTAACTCTGTTGTGCTACATTGCCCTGCACTTGCCTGATAGAGAGGAGCTTGCACGGGCCGAGACGCTTCCCGTGATCGAATGGGCGTCGAAACAATCTCATTTGACGCAGGACGAAACAAATGAAAGACTCTTACATGAGGCTGGAAGTAAGCTAGAGCTGTTTCAATCTAGAGGTCCAAGAGGATACCATTGATTTCAACTCGATCATTACAGGCAAAAGCTTCTGATCTATTCCATAAGTTGAAAATTTTTCCATTTTAGCCCATTATTTTCGTTCGAGTGTACGTATTAGATTCATTTTTCATCCACAATTGTTTAGAATGTACCGTAATAATTTAGTGAAATTTGGTTGGTTGCTTCATCTGCCTGTCATGGAGACAAAGTTTACAAATTCCTCCATGTTTGATTTCAAACGACCGGAGCATCGTATGGAGTTGTTAATCCCTGTCATTCATCTGCCTGTAATTCAATTTATATGTTTTTAATGATCTTATGATAACTAAGTGAATAACATCGTCCTGCACATGGGTAGCCCTATATCGCCCGTCACACCCAAGCACAATGCACCACACATAAGCATATGCTTGGGGCGTGGGAGTGGTGGCAGAACGTGCATGGTGAGGTGGAGTCAGGTGCCTTTAAGCGTGCAATATGAGCCTTGTTAAGCACGAAATGTTGCGATGTTGTCTCCTAACTTGGGCTGGCTTGAGGTCGATGGAGTACTGATATACTTGATTTCTTATTCCATTTTGTAATATAGTAATGGAGTGAAATTTCCGAAATATTTCAAGATTTATTTATTTTTACATAGAAGATATCGGACTAGGGGCCGTCCACAACCCACAAATTGGACCATTTAATATAACAATATGTTAATGGGCCCAAAGGGTCAAACAAACGCTCAGGCCCATAAAACGGGCTATAAAGTGGCCCAGTTTAAGCCTGACGACTGGGCTTCTGTTTAGGCCCAATCCGATTAGTCAAATCAAAAGCTATAAATATTCGAAATTATGAAGGATCGATAGAGTAGCAAATTCAAGTTTACGTCGAAGCTCTTATGTTTTCAAAAGGGGAGGAAATGTCAGCCAGAAAAAGAGACGCCATCAGCAAGAGCTCTCTCTGTAACAGCAACTAGCTCTGCCTTTTGCGTCGCCACGACACTGACAGACCACACGAACATGGCGCTAAAACGCCTTTAACGCACGTGGCCGCCATGTGGAATGGCGCAGCCAGTTGAGGGTTCTTTGCGGCATTTTGTCGAACACTTACCGGACGCTTTTGATTATATTGTGATTATTGTAGTGTAGGCGTTTTGATCCCCCATTCTTTCTCGTCTTGGATTTGAGTTGATATCACTGAAACTCACTTTTGGTATTGTTGTGAAGTTGAATAATTGCTATAAATTGCAAGCACCAGCGGTAGAGAAGAAGCCAAGGATGAATGCCCCAAAAGCATAGCCCTCTTTTTTCGTTTCTGATTGTAAAAATCTTATTCTAATTCGACTTTGGAAGAAAGTGAGGACAAAAGTGAAGAGCAATATAGGTGTCTGAATAAAGCGCCACCGCCGTACGTTGAATTGACCACAACGTTTCATGTTCCTTCCCCTTTCGCAAACCCCACCTTTCTCCGCCAGTGTTGTGGAAACTTTACACGCCAACGCCATGGATTTAGATAGAATAATGTTTAAGGAAGATTAAGAGAGCAAGTGGGGAGCCCCGGCCCCTACCCTACCTTCCACACACGTTTTCACCTAGTGGGGTACTGTCGGCAATACCGTTCAAAACCAAATTTGTTTAAGTTTTGTTTTATACCGGTTAGATGAACACGACTTTCCACAATAGTATGATATTGTCCACACTTTGAGCATAAGTTCAAATGGTTTTGCTTTGAACTGCATTGAACTCCCCAAAAGGCCTCGTTCTAATGGAGTTAGTATTCCTCAATTATAAGCCCATGATCATTCACTAAATTAGTCGAAGTGGGACTTTCATCATCCAACAGGGTATCAGAGCCATGCCCTAAACTTAGTCGTGCCAATATATTGACAAATCCTCGAATGTCGAACAAAGGACTCCAAAAAGAAAAAAGGAGTCAAGCCTTCTTGAAGGTACGAAGGTAGTAAAAAATGACTAAGACTCGAGTCAAGCCTCGATTAAGGAGAGACGTGCTTTGTTCGAGGGGAGGTGTTGGATGATGAAAGTCTCACGTCGGCTAATTTAGGGAATGATCATAAGTTTATAATTGAGGAATACTAACTTCATTGGAATGAGGTCTTTTGGGGAAGCTCAAAGCAAAGTCATGAGAGCTTATGCTCAAAGTGAACAATATCATACCATTATGAAGAGTCGTGCTCATCTAACAATACCAAATGACAGCGAATCGGTGTGAGAAAAGTAAGATTCAGACTAACCTAAACTAAGTAGAATTGCAAAAACTTAGTCATTTGAGGATCGAGCTGTTCAAACCTAGTTAAGACACATGTCACTCCTTTTTTTGTATAATTCTCACAAACAAGTTAGTACAGTAGATTATAAATAGACCGACCAACGTGACACAACTGCTATCCAAGCGCTAACTTGGACATAACATCAGATGGATGTGAGTAAATTAAAATATGTGCAAATATTGCGAGACTTTTAAGCATCGAAATTTATATTATTAAAATTTTTAACGTTTATATTAATACCATCCAAAATTATTAATTTTTTGAAGAAATAAATTAGTAATTTAAAAACAAAATTAAATTTGAGAGTACTAGAAATTTTCTTAAATGGACGAATGGGTGAATCGAAGGCTTTAAAGGCCATTTAAAGGAAAATGATGGCATTGACGGCGGAAGCGGCGGTGATTAAAAACGCCGGCCGGCTAATAATCCAGATGTCAGGTGGACACGTGGCACATTTCCCTATGTCTCCGGATAAATCTGTAGGCCCCACACACCAATATTATTTATTTATTGATTTCACATTCTATTAATTCAAATTTTGCTAATTTACCGATTAATTATGATAAAAGAATTCTAATTTTTGTTTTTGTTTTTTTTAATTGAATAGTTTTAATAATAATAATTTAAAATAAAGTTTGATTAATAAATAAATTAATAATTGAATAATTTTGTCAAAATTCACCCATATTATTAATAAAAATTTAATTTTTGTATCAACTTTCTATCATTAACATTTGAATATTTTTTCTTCATAAATTTTTAAATAAAAACTTATCCTAGAATAATAATTAAATGTTTAGAATAAACATTAATCGATAAATTTATAATTTTTTTTTTATTATTATGTAACACTACATAGATGAGATGATTCAAATTTCTAATCCCGAATCAGAGTATATACTTCAAGCTTTTAACTAATTGAACCACATTCAAGCGGATCTCGTATGAACTATTAATTATTTTGTCAATATTAGGGTATATAATTCAGCAATTGTAATGGTATAATTAAATTTAAGGTTTTGTTTAATAAAATAAAAAGAAAATTGATAAAATTGACAGCTGACAGTACAGGAATAAAATCTGGATTTTGCTGTAAATTAACGAGGGGGTGCAAATTGGACCTCCCCGTAACTTTTCACTCTAAATTTAGAGTCGTTTCTTTTTATTTATTTTTAAAAAAAAGTGAAAATGATTGGTCGGTGAGTGAGAGTGATGTCTGTGATGGGGAGATTGTGCTTTCCCCTTTAATCGATCACGTTTACAAGTATAAATAACGAGCATCTCCATGTCCAAGGTTCTCTCACCGCACTCTCTCTCTCTCACTCTTCTTCCCCTTCTTTTCCAACTTATTCCCTCTTTCACTCTCAATTTCTGAAAAACTTTTAAAAATTATAATTAATGCTTTATTTGCAGTAATCTCCATTGTCTTCTCCGATGTTCTTCCTCTCTCATCCCCGTTTCTCGCTCTAAAAGTTACTCTGTTTCCGCCATTGCTCTCTTGGACCTTTCTTCTTCCATCTCATAACTTCAAACGCCTAATAATTGAAACCCCACTTCTCAACCTTCATCTTTAACCATACACATTGTTTCAATTCGCTTAGACCAGGAAATTTCAGTCAGTCAATGGGGCTGTTCAGCTCTTTCCACCATTCTTCTCCCTTCTTCTCCACCTTGATTGTGCTTCTTCTTGTCAAAGGTCTCAAAGGTAAATTTATTTTTCTAGTTTCTTTTGTCGGTTTGAATTCTGGGTAATCGTTTGTTTTTCTTAATTTTAACGAATTTTGTTGAAATCTGTGGTAGGATTTGTTCAATCTGGTTGCTCTGTTTTTCTTCCCCTGTTTTTGATCTTCTTTCCTTGTTTTACAGAGGTCTCCGGCGCTACGTTCACGTTCGTTAACAAGTGTGAATTCACCGTATGGCCGGGAATTCTCGCCAGTGCTGGCAGCCCGAAACTGGAATCCACGGGTTTCGAGCTCGTACAGGGTAGTTCTCGCTCTTTTCAAGCTCCGACCGCCTGGTCCGGTCGGTTCTGGGGCCGAACCAATTGCAATCTCGACGGCTCCGGCCGTATCATCTGCAACACTGGTGACTGCGGCTCCGGTGAGATTGAGTGTAATGGAGCTGGCGCCACCCCACCGGCCACGTTAGCCGAATTCACACTCGGTTCCGGGTCGCAGGATTTCTACGACGTCAGTCTCGTCGACGGCTATAACTTGCCGATGATAATTGAGGGAACTGGCGGGTCGGGCACGTGCTCGTCGACCGGCTGCATTACGGACCTGAATCAGCTCTGCCCGGCGGAGCTGAAGGCAGAGGGTGGCGGCGCGTGTAAAAGCGCCTGTGAGGCATTTGCCTCGCCGGAATACTGCTGCAGCGGAACGTATAACTCGCCGGCGACTTGCCGGCCGTCAGTATACTCAGAAATGTTCAAATCGGCGTGCCCCAGATCGTATAGCTACGCTTATGATGACGCCACAAGCACATTCACCTGTAATGGGGCTGATTACACCATCACATTTTGCCCTTCTCCCCCGAGGTACCCAACACATAAAAAATAATAATAATAACTTAATTTCAGTTAAATTATAAATTTATTTTCAAAATTCATATGATATTGATGTTTTATTTGAAAATGACAGTCAGAAATCTTCAAGGGATTCGTCGCCAATGATACCAGAGCCAACAACAGAGCAACCGGGATCAGAGCCAGAGACCAAGCCAGGATCAGAATCAGAATTGGGTTCATTACAAGGAGCAACATTAAGTAATTCTTGGCTTGCGGATATGGCCATAGGAGGCTCTTCCATGGCTGGAAAACCAAATTTAGCATTTCAATTTATGTCAAATTTGATATTCTTAGTCGTTATATATCTGGTTCTTCTTTTGGAATAAAATATAAAAGGAAGACTAGAATTCATCGACCAAATCCCAACTATTGATGTATGTACAGAATTTAAGGCCAAAAGAAGTTGCTTTTTTTTCATTTAGAGATGGGTAGAAAATTAAAATAAAAAAAAGGAACTTTATTTGGCTTTAGGATTTGTTGAATTTGGATGATTCCCAAGCTTGAAAGGTTAAATATTAAGTGGGAAGTTGGAATATGGGAGCCTTAAAGTTATCACCTTTATGACAACACCATAATGAGTGAATTTTTTTTTTCTTATGGGAAAGTTGGCCCACACAAAAATGGCCACAACTATATTTTACAAATTTTACAAACAAGTAATCAACCCAAAATTTGACAATTACACATAAAAATGTGTAAAAATATCTTTCTACAATGAATTTTTAGCATTAAAACTCGTTGCAACTTGTAACATACAAAAGAAGTCATCACGGTATTGTTATAACGTAACAAAGAATCTTCCCAACTTGCAACGAAAATAAAGAATTATAAAAGATGTTTTCATTACAATGATACGACCAAGAAAAAATTAATTTTGTGTATGGGTGATTGAGTTAAAAAGAACGTAGAAAAATGGAAGGGGGGAAGCACATGGTGAGCAATTTGGGTGGGAAAGGTCGAATGGTGTTTGGTTGATAGGACGGCTGAATGAAAGATTCTTTTCGTCACTTTCGTATCTCTACTTTATACCTCAAAACCCACTCGATGCCCCCAACACTTCTTGTTTTTGCTTCTCTCCCCCAAATATATTAATTAATTTGATATGTTAGTTCAACAAAACAAATCTACTTTTCCTTTTGATCATCACTGACACTCGATTTCACTATTTTGCTAAGGTAAATTTGGGCTCAGGTGAAAATAGGCAGAGTTCAAGTTCACTAAGAGGAACATGGTCTTGATTGGGTTGGGTTGGGTTTGAGAGATTTTTTTTACCCAACCCAATTCTAATAGCTAACCCAGGTTTAGGGTTGAATGTACACTCCTAGAGTTCACTATTATTTGGACAATAATGAAAGCCACTAAACCAAGGACAAGATGAGTCATAAGGCAAAATGCTCGTGGGCCCACCTCGATTGAGGCCGAGGTGAGCCTTCTCACACTCATAGCTAGATACTAAGTTGGAAGAAAATAGGTAAATTCTCGAAATTCTAGTTCAAAGAAGAAAAGGAGAAACCGTAAATCCTACAACATTATACAAGTGTAGAAGAGGCTGAGTCAAACTCTAATTCTCTATGACTCTTGCTACATCTCAAACCTCTTAACTAATTTAGGCACCAAAGGGGTTGTGGTAAATACCACAACACTGCTCAAATTAATCGGCTTGGTAGGTTGCATCTTCCATGGTTCATTAAATTTACTGTTGATGCACATATGCAGATTAAGTGAGTCTTCTTTCTCAAGATTGTACATCAACAAAACTAAATACAAATAATTATCAAACGAAACCCTAATCATTTCAAACGTAATATTCAATATTCATCACAAATTGATACGATTTGTTTCAAGAGAAAGACAGAGGAATTAAGGGATTGGAGGGTTAAAAGGGAGTAAAAAGAAGGAAGGATTCCTGAACAAGTTGTTGTGAGGAAGAAGCTGCAGAGGGGGAAAAAAAAAAAGCATAAAAACTAAAGCAAAGATGGAAAGGAACCTTTCTTTCTTTTCCTTTTTGAATGAAGATAAGAGATCAGGAGGAGAATTGGAGAGGCCTTCCAGTGGGAACTCCAGCTTTTTGCTTTGCCTCTTAATCTGTTTTTACTGCCAAACTCCAAGACCAATCCAACATGTTCTTCCTTTTTCTCACTCATACAATGATAAATACAATGATAAAAGAAAAATACCAACATTGGACGTACCTACATACTCCATTCAAACTCACTGTATAATAGCAACAGCGCAGCAACTAATGGACAGGACAACCTTTGACGACAACCCCTGGGGCAGTAGGACAAGAAGCCAAAGGACATGCATCTGAATCCCCACCCCACCACTGAAGAGATACATGTTGCATTCCTAAACATATATACAGAAACACACCCATGAACGCCAATCCAGCATCCAAAGCTCCGGATAGCAAATAGTTATGGCGGCTCCACCACCCACGGTAATGCCTGTAAGCAACAAACCCAGAAGCAAATCCTATTACAATCCAGCTTGTGTAGTTAACTGCGGTGGCTGGAGGCATATTCACCACCGCGCCAAGGAGCACCGGCATGGTGATCAGCCGGATCCAATACTTGTCTGGGAAGGCCTTGTGTGCCAGCCAAACCAAGAATGGAGACACTGCTCCGGCTAAGAAAAACCAGTTTAGTGATCCATATTTTCCTTGATCCCCAAAGATCCTCCGAGGTCCAATGAGGCCCCATATGACCGAGGCGTCATAGAATACGTGGTCACCGGGACATGTCCATGGACTGCCTACTGGAAGCATTGCTCTGTCGCATATGTTGGGGATTGTTGCCATAAGCCACCAGGCTGTTCCCAAATGTGTCACTGCCGATATCACCGATCCAACGACCTGATTAAAGAGCGAACAAGAAGACATGTTAACTCACCTCTCAACCCGAAAACTTAACTTAATAGCCTACCATAAATTTATTCTTTATTTATACTTTAACATACGTAGTGTCAGTCTGCTACTAACCTGTGCAGTGAACATTTCTTTGGGAGGAATTTTCATGTAATGACCAAGTTTGAAATCTTGAAGAAATGTGATTGCCTGCTTCATACTTATGTATCCATAAACTTTAAAGCACATATTAGCAACAGGGTAGCCAGGATACAAGTAACCGATAATGAATTCAGTGATTACGTTTAAGGATGGGGCCTGTTGATCAATAAAATGGGAAGTTTAAACAACAATGCTATCAGCTGTGTAGCTTACAAATGCATAGCAATTTAGCAGATATTGTGAAATGATACCTGATTTGTCAAAGCAGCAATAACTCCAACCGGGAGGGTGAAAAACACAGCAAGACTGCAAGCGAGCAGCACGCCCCACCATGGCAATTGGAGCTGGTTGTTGTAGTACTCGCATATGAAAATGGTGGCTGAAATGTTAACTACAAGGATGCTCATGAACCACCATTCGGGAACTTGATCATACTTTCTCATCAGCTTTGTATGCACATCCATTAGCTTCTCTTGCAAGGCTGACTTGCTTAATCGCCATATATCTCTGCTCATGACAACAACAAATCAGGGCGAATAGAAACCAAAACAATTCCCTGTTTAAAGTTTCTAGAGAACATGATCAAACTCAAGTTTGAAAGATGCCCAACCTCCCATGGAAAAGTAAGACATGAACAACAGTGGCAGCAAGACAGGCAAAGTTGACACCATAGTAGAGAGCAAAGAAGGTACTAATTCGGAGTGGCCCTTCGCGGTTATAAGCATCGACATCAAGACGAAAGTTGGGGTCAATTATTGCAGAGATATTGTATTTTTGGCCAGCAGAGGTGAACAGCCCATCAGAAAAAATGGGGAATGTCTTAGCATCAAAGAGATCTAGCCAATATGCTAATGGAGTCACGACGTAAGTGACAATGGCAAAACCAGCAGCAATGTTGGCAGTGGCAAACCATGGACTGGCAAGAGGGCTCCCAAGATAAGCTGATATGGTGGACCAATCGAAACCAAAGGCACCAATGCCTAAGCCTCGCAGCCCTGAACCGAGCTGCTGAGCTATTATGGATGTGGGAAACGCCCAACAGAGCCAGGACATTGATGTCAACATGGGAAAGAGATAGCCAGGGAAGACGTAATAAGCAAAGCTGCAAGTGAAAGCAATGACAAAGAACTGATTTCTACTTAATTTCCCTTTTGGTCTCTCTTCTTTCTCGTGTAATGCCCTACAATTTCAAGACGACGATGAATGATTCGATTAAAACAAAACAGAACAAAAGTGGGCGATGGGTAATGTTAAATCACCATTAACAGAAACATGAATTGGGAGGCTAATAGTATAATTAGCACAGCGAAAATGACATTACAATTATTCAAACATACAAACATGTTCTAGCATTGTGTTTAATTACTGCAGGACACTATTGATAGGCTACCATTACATTCGATCAGGCATTCATAATCTTAAAACGGACTCACCTGAAGAGGGAAACTTGAACCAGATTTTGCGGCCACCACATGGCGGCCGGCTCGACCAAGTATCGACGGAAAATCCCGGCCCAGCCAAAACCGAGCACCTGCGTAGTCAATACAACAAGCAATGCCACAAAGAAGGTTAGTTCCTTCTTGTAGAAGATCTTGATTGCGCTGACGACATGAATCGCGTAGACGGTGGAGGCGCCGGAGTTCGCGAAGATGGTGATGAGGACGTGCTCCTTCTGATTGAAGGGTCCTGGATTGAGAGTGAACTTCCATTTCTTCCCTTCAAAGAATACTCTGTTAGTTAGGGCAGAAGCCAGGAGATGGCCAATCGGAACCACCGCGATTTGGGCGGAAATTGAGGTCACTGAAAGAGGCTCTTTCCGATAGTAGAAGAACTGATTGAGGAAGGAGAGAAGCATACACGCGATTGTTCCCAATAACCAGGTCCTGAAAGTGAACGTCGGAAGCGAGGTATCGTCAGTGACCGGTACTGTAAGGGCAACTTGCTCCACAGGGGAATTTTCGCCGGGAAATAAATCCTCCGGCGAGGGAGAATCCGAGGTTGACCCTGAAGCACACCATTGATCGACCTGATTTCCATGTACTGCACGCAACGACTAATAAGGTCAAATCAGACATTTAGGGAAAACTGACAGAAAGAGCAGGGACGAAGTGGAAGTCTTACTCAGAGGATCCAAAATTTCATGATTATCAGCCATCTTACTCACCGCATTTAGAGACCGACAGCCACACCTCTACAAATCCGGAAACATTTTCCGAAAGACAGGCTGGTTCAATGAAAGCTCGAGGTGCTCTTCTAGCAACAAAATCGATTGTGTTTCGATATGGATGCGTTGACCAAACGAGATTGAATCAGAGAGCAATAACAGAGCTCTGGTTTCTGGCGATCATAGTGGGTTTAGTGCTCTGGTTTTGAACAGAACAAGAACTTCCAATGGTTAATGTCACCGGCGACTGAGGAAATGGCTTGAAGGCGTTTCCCTCCGGTGATGTCCCTCTGTCCCAACACCGACGGCGGAATTGGTCGTTTTATAGTTTGAAATGAGAAGTGGGGCCCGCAAAGCCTCCAAACGAATATTTCCAGCTTCTTAGTAAGAATTCAGAAAACGAGATGGATTGAAGTCATAATTATATAATAAATTTATAATCGAAACAATTTATTATTGTCATCGCCTACAAAACTAATTAGTGGAAAAGAATGTATACAAAATTACCTTTTCAAGAGAATTTATTGTTATTATTTTCCTTTATGAATATACTACCTTTTAAATATTGTTTGCTTTGTTGTGGAGAAGTGTTAAAAATAAAAATTAAAAAAAATCCAGATTTTTAATTTTTAAAACTAATTTTCATATAAAATTTTGATATTTTAAGTTTAAAATGAGAAAAATATAAGATTATCAAATATATTAAAAAGAACAGGAAACAAGAAAACAATTAACAAAAATATAAATAGTTCTGAGCAATAGTTGAATACAAATGGCTTCATATCTCCTCCAGTGGTTAACATTATAAAGTAAAATTTCAAAAGAGGGGTGCGGTGTAACAAAACATCAACAAGACTATTGCGTACTTCTTCCGTTCAATATTTGACACGTTCTTAAATAACACAGATTATTTCATTCCATGGGTTCCACGGTATCCTTCAATGATTCTTCTATGTATTTTTCCTTAACCCGGGCTTTGTCCCTGCACAAACTTCAGATCGACTTTTGCCCATTTCTGTTAATGAATGATCGAGTGTAAATACCTTTTTCACATCTGAAGCACTGTACAGCAGAGTTGATTACATTATCACAGTCCCCAATTACGCCAAAACGAGATGTGGCCACGTGATTCTCGCTTTTTATTCAGTCAACTTCAAGAACTTCGCTACAAAAAGCCCACTTGTCTGTGATGCCCATGGATCAAAACGTAGGGTCTTTGGTATTCGTCCACTCTTGCACGGCCAATTTCTGACCGCTTCTATCTCCTGCAACTCTGTCAAGGATCAGAAAGAGAATAATAGTCAGTCTTAATGCCTGTTTGGAATCAATTTTCAAGGGATTTTTAGAACTTGGAAAGTCAAACCTTACCTGCGGAAGCATTATCCTTGAGAAACTGTTCCACAACATCCTCATTCTGTGCTACTGTAAGACTAATCAAGAGAAAGGATAACGCTTTAATTATTTGGCACGCACGGGCATTTGTGTGTATGTGTTTTCTTTTTTAAATTGTTGTTGTGTAGTTAGAGTTTCAAAGCCTAAAGAAGTGCAGCCAAAAGAAAGAACCTGCAAGTGCTGTAGACAAGTATCCCCCCAGACTTCAGCAACCGAAAACCATTGGAAAGGAGTCTCAACTGCAACAGAAAATAGACCAACATATCATTCAAGATATTTTTACAGTTGAGAATTCTTTTTACAGAAAAAAATGACATTCTAAAGTTCCGAGTACAAGAGGGAAATTTGAATTGTTTCTAAAGTTCTGTTTTTTGAAGTTCTAGATTTAATAAGACCGAAGTATCATCAACTACTTGCCAGTAATAAGACCATGTAGTAATCTTTTATCCATCTACAGCCATTTTCATTTCTAATGCATGGACATCTAGCTTTAACCCCTATGTCCTTTCAAGATTGAGTAAAAGATTGGGAACATTCTAAAGAACATGCAGAAAATACATTTTCTTATAAAAAAAAAAATTACAACAGTTTACGCAAAAAATCTGATTAATTTTAAGTACCTGAAGTACAGTCAAATTATCTGTTCTCTCAGCGTCCAATACTCTGCGCTGAAGAGATGTCCAACCCCAACTTTCAAATTTCTGTATATGCTTTATAGAGCCATCATGAGTGCATTCGGCATCCACTAGGACCTAAATAAATGTCAAACATCATCAATCCAGAAATTCACTGAGCAATACCTAAAGCACAAGAATGACAGTTCATCAAGAAAAGAGAGGAGAAATGGGGAGGCAGGCAATGAACAGAAAGCAGCTCACCCTATCATACCCATAGCTCAATAACTCACTTTCCGAAGGACTTCGGTATATCTCACTCTTAGTGAACCCAACCACGCCAGATTTCAGCCCATAAAAGATAAGTTCTGGTTCCTGACACCTCTGGACTAAATCTGCAGCAGCGTTTTGTTTTGCTATGGCCGCTTTCTTCCTTTCCTTCCAAGATTTTCTGGACGTCCACTCCTTCAATCTGTCAACACTATCTTCTAATGTAGATTCATCTATATGAGACTAAACAGATCATAACTAATTAAAGAAACAGAAAGACAACTAGATGAGCAAATAAAATCAACAGCTTAGTTACTCGTTGCAATTTAATAATAATGATAAAGGCATTTAGATCAACAAATGGTTACCTGATCTAGACTCTGAAGTGACATTCACGGGAATGAGAGAAAATGTTGCTCCATCAGCAACAAAAAGTCGACAAATATCACCAAGAGCATATTTTTGCAGCATTGTTCTACAAGCAGCTAAACGATGCTGAGATACATCTACTCCAGTCACAGAACCCAAACCATCAAGAAGGTCTACGATCATGCAAAGTTTGGCCCCTGAATATAATGTCATGTGTTAGAACTAGGTGACTGACTGATTGGTTGTTCAAAGATCTGATATATGATAAGCTGCACCATATTATTGTTCACTACAAAAGCACGTTACATTAAATAAATGTCTAACAGTGTGATAAAAGACATATCAACTATATTCATTCAGGTAATTAGAACCAATAAACCAACTTGATTCACTCTATTCCAACTCCTGAGAGTTAAGACATCCAGTTCAACCATATTTTTCCTGAATTAAACTGTTTTTTATCGCCAAAAAAAAAAAATTTATACGAATGGCCAGAAATTCTTTTCCTTTATCTTTATTTATTTTTAATATTTGAAGCTTCTAGACTATGCATCTCTTGACGCCTTCCAAGCTCGACACGATTCCAAAATTCAACAGAGTCTAAACTGAGTAAATGAAGGTCTCTTGTTTTAGCCTAAACTTTTTGCTGATTGAGAGGATCAAATGTTCTAGCCTAGAACTTTTACATCATTGAGGCTCATGCTCGTCATTAATCCAACTTGAAACTATGACACTCATACGCTGCATAGAAGTCTCAAGAATGTTTATTTCGTTTGAATGTGATTAAATTTACCGCAGGTATGTAGAGTTAAAACAGGTCATGACTTAGTTCTTAACATTGTGGGAAAGAGAAAGCTTTACCTTATATCCATATCCATCCTAAAAACATTAAATTCTTGGTGACTTAACACTTTACAGTATTGTTATTATCCTCCTTAGAAAAATCTAACAATGACGTTGGCAGAAATCTGAAAGTTTTACTTCACTTTGATTCAGATATTGAACATACTCACGTATATAACTTGTATGGAAAAAGCCAGAAAGGAGCCTTACCTGGAGCGGCACAAAGATCAAGGACATGATTTCCCGGTGAAACGTCTAAGGCAGTAACAGCAGCACCGGAAGCTGCATCTATTCCATATATCTGAATGAATAAACAAATGGTAAATAGAAAGAAATATCAAATGTAGAGTACAAATTGAACATTCAGAATTCAATAGACAACAAAACCAAATTACACATATGTTAAGCGGCAATATTAATTCCTATAGTTAGTTGCTCATCCGTTCCTATGTACGGAATTTAAAAAAACAAATTCAAGAAGGAACACTGCTACAAGCAACGATTTCCGACGTGTTGCATAGGGTTTTTCGTAAGCACGAAATTATAACTAAAATTTCACGAGTCCCGAATTACTAAGGACAGATATCCTATTCCTAAAACTGATGCAGAAGTTCCTCACCCTTCCTGTCTTGTAAGCTTGAGAACCAGCAATTTGCACATCGGGCGGAAGGGAATAGAATCCAGGCAGCCAACTGACTTTCTCAAGCTTGCACTTGATCTCGGCCTCCATCTCCTCCACATCGGCTTCATAGCCAGGCTTCAACCTTGCCATTGAGACAACTTAAACAATATGGATAACCAGAAACATAAACCACCATTCGAATTATCTGAGCATTGAAATACCTGACATAACGAGGGGTTGAATCAGTAGCTGCGTAAATGGAAGGGTCCAGATCATTTTCCTTCAGAAAATCAAGAAACGCCGCAGGCAACGGCGAAGTAGAAGGTTCCTCCATAGGTTCGGCCAATAAGCCGAAGCCGAAATCAAAGGAATAAAGAAAGTGTGGAGGATTTGAATCCTTGAAGTAGGGTTTAGAATGGTCGCGGCGATTCGTAGAACTGGTAGTGTGTGTTTTGAAACCGCGGTTATGGGGGCGCGATTTTTTTGCTACTTTTTCGTCCCGGGAAAACCCGCCCCGTTCCTTTATGGTTTATTGTCCCGTGAAGGATAATGAATCATCTCAACTCTTATAATGTGTGAAAATAAGACGTATTTTAAATAATAACAAAAAATGGGTCAAAGCATACAATATATGTTACCAATGGGATTGAGACTATTACAAAGGATAATTAAAGCCAAACAACTAAGTAGTGTGTCTGTGAAGACGTTGTGCCTCTAAATATGGCGGATTGTGATATCTCGCGTCAAATAAAAAAGAAAACATCGAGTTGTGTGTCCATGAGAACATTGGGCCCCAAAGGGGTGAATTGTGAAATCTCACATCGATTAGAGAGTAGAACATTAAATGGTATACTAGTGAGAACGCTAGATTCTCAAAAAGGTGAATGGTAAAATCTCACCTCGAAAAGTATAATATAAAACATTTTCTGTGTGAGTATAGAAAGGTAATTTGTTAAATTTTACTGGAAAACTAAATTTAATATTTATTCGTTTGATTTCAAACCTGGCAAAATTAAGTTATCTTCACACGTAATCCTTCAATCAAACTAACTAATTAATTGATCGCTTTCATGGCCACGTAAGCAAAACACATGATCAAAAGCGGATAAATTAGCTGATTACGTTAATCCAAAAAGTTAAATTATCAACAAATTAAAAAACAAATCCCGCCACGTCATTTTCCATTACCAACGCAACGGCCCAATGCCATGCTTTTTCCATTGAGGAAGTGGAGTCACCTCCATCCCAACGCTATTCCCACTTACTTCTCCAGCAGTTGTGGCAAAA